TGTGTGTGTGTGTGTGTGTGTGTGTGTGTGTGTGTGTGTGTGTGTGTCGGGGGGAGGGTATGGAGGACCTCCCCCACCAATCAATCAATCAATCAATCAATCAATCAATCAATCAACCAATCAATCAATCAATTAATCAATCAATCAATCAATCAATCAATCAAATAACAATCAAACAATCAAGATTTTTTTGAACTTTTTTTTGTTCGATGGGGTAGGGTCGGGGTTCCGGAACCCCAATCCGAACCCCGCACCCCCAACCCCCTCTTCCCTCGGCCGCTGCAGGCCATGGCAGACAGTGGTCGCTGCAGTCATAACCGCGGCCGCTGGTGTTTCATAGGTACAAACCACCATGACCATTACTTGTCGGAAAAGTGACAGACCTAGCTAGGGGGTTGATAGGGCTGCGCGTCACACGATGGATACCCCTATGCACTACACCATTCGACAATTCGCTCAAGGATGGATACTGTGAATCCATCTGTTATGTGTGCTTGTGATGTGATGTTGCTGCTCAATTGCTGCAACAAAACCGGCACACGACTATGAACTATGAGCTATCTATCACCCGCGGTCATGACCGTGGGCCTTTTTACCGCACGCGATCGGGATCCCGACTGCGCGGGCCGACTGCCCTTGGCCAAGAGCCCCTGACAATGTTTTCCGGGTCTTATGACCCTGACCAATTTCGATGTACACATCCATCGGAAAGTACAATGCCATCCAATTGCAGAAAGAAATGAATGAACTTGAGAGGTGAGAGAGGATTAGAAGAAGAAGAAGAAGAAGAGGAAGTAAGAAGGAAGAAGAAGATGATGTACACCAGCAAAACAGATGATAAGGTTCTTCTTCTTCGTCCAACAATCTCTCCTCCTTATCTCCCCCTTCTCTTATTTATACAAGAAATAAAAATACAATATTGAATGGCTGATCCAGAATCAATGTCCAGGTTCCTCTTCTACTGCAGGTATCACTTGAGGTCCACCATAGCCATGGCCGCCTCTCCCACTCTTCACCCTCATAGGCCGAGGCTATGGCGGACTACTAGGCTCTGCTCAGATTCCCAAAGGACAACCCAAAGCAGCTATGGCTGCTCTAGCTCAGGCCACCATGCCTGACCCTGCCTCGAAGCTTCTTGGTGTAGTTCTCCCCAGTTGGGGACTTCCTGCTGCAGCGCCCACCAAGGTGATGAAGATGGCTGCCACCATAGCTAGGTAAGTAACCCTGGCGCTCCTCCCCCTTCCTTCCTTCTTCCTCCCTCGTGTCCTTCTCCTTCCTCCCCAGCAACGCTGCGCCAGCATAGCGCTGCTCCAGCCAGCGAACCACCAGTGTGTCGCCAAACTTGCACACTGAAAAAAAGACCGGACTCTCCGCACGGCCCGAAGATATAACGACTTGCTTTGCCTCTTGGGCGGTGAGTTCCAGGCCACTTGGCCTCCAAGCAACCGGTACCTCCTCCTTTTTGGAGAGAAACATCATTGCAGACTCTAATATTGCTCGTACATGCCCTAGACGCAGACTGGTACCCACCTAGACCTAGCCTACATTATTGGGTCTCTAAAAATGCCACTTTTGTCTTCTTCTGCTCAGCCTCCGGTACCTGCACATCTACCCCTTCCAAGTGCGGTACCGACCTACCCGCTACTTGAGTGTTTTTCCCCGCTGCAACCCCTCAATGTCATGGCCACAGGTAAGTACCGGCCCAGAGGGCCCAACGAAAGAGCAAGTGCCCTGACGGGCTACACACATACTCATGCCAACCAGCACTCAGACAGGCATGATCACACACACACCCAAGCCAACCAACACTCAGACAGGCATGGTCACACACACACTCAAGCCAACCATCACTCGGACAGACATGCACTCCAGCAAGCGTGCACACACAGACTTAGTAGCAGGTGGGAAACTCAACAAGGCATTCAGTCTATGAGCAAAACTCAGAAATCAGCTGTGTGTTTCAATCCATGTTTGGACGGGTCATCACACTACTCCCCCCTCAAGAGCGAGGTCCCTTCGAGCGAGTAACTCATTCTGAGTCCTCGACAAACGCATCGTAGGCAAGCAAGGCAAAGAGGTTCCAGAATACTATGTCGCAGTGAGCCTCGCAGAGATCTTGGGCGTAGCGTTAGTGGCGATTTGTCGCTCATAGGCTTTAACAATGCGCGGTGCGCTGCGCAACAGTTCTTGCTTGGAAATCCATTACAGATCATCCAACGGATGATACATAAAGTGAACTTGGTATTGTCTATTGCGTCCCTTTCCTACGTGCTGTTTAATTTGGTCTATCTCATGCCCGCCTTTGATCCCGCGAGGGATCATATCTTCGCGATAATCGAATGTCTTAGCATCACGGTGGAGGTACAGTTTGGATGCGTGGAACACGGGGTATGTGCGCAGATGGGCTGGCACATCAACGACGTACGTAGGGCCAAAGTGATCTTCACCAATCACATCCAAAACTTCCCAGGGCCCATAATAGAGTGGGAAAAGTTTGCGTGAGACTCCCTCTTCTTCTGAGAATTCAGACATCTTGACCCAGACATAACTTCCTACCTGAATATCCGACGATCGACGCTTCTTGTTCGCATGATGGATCATGGCGTGCTGTCGCTTGGTCATAGCTGCAATGGCAACTTTGAGCAAGCGATCATACTTGGCCCGAAGCCACGTCTGCCGGGTGTTAAACCAACTGGCTGCTCAGGGAATAGGTAAGAGAGTGGATTCCGTATCTGCCAACCGTAATGCAGCCTGTTGCGTGTCATGCCGGTGGCGGAGTGGGCGGAGTTGTTGTATAACCCCTTAGCGGAATACAACTCTTCATCCCATGTTTCCTGATCCGGGATAATCAAAGAGCGGAGAAGTTGAAACACAGTCTCGTTGATCTCCTCAGCCAAACCGTTGGCTTCGGGGTGTAGGCCAGATGTCATACATAACTTTATCCCTAGTTGAGACGTGAAGTCCTTCCATTCAGTACTAATGAAGCGCGGATCCCGAACTGCAAAATGTACTTCTGTTGGAACTCACGAATCACTAGTTTTGTTGGGGCGTGAGGCGGCAAGGGAATCAGGTTGATGAACTTAGAGAATCGATCAACATTCACCATGACCTGTGAGTAACCGTTCTTACTTACCTTTCCCATGTCGGTGAAGTCGATGGAGACAGACTCCCCGGGACCATCGGGAATGGGTAGGGGTGTGAGTAGCCCCATCGACTTTTGTCTGCATGGTTTGATTCGTTAACAGACTGAACATTCAGCCACAAACTTTTCAGCAGTCCCTTTCATGCCAGACCAATCAAATTGTCTCAACAAATTTGCATACGTCTTTGCCATGCCGAAGTGTCTGCTCCGGCCATGAGCCAAATCCAAGAAGTGCGTGCGGAGAGGCTCATGGTTGGGCACACACAAACTGTCGTGGTTCCCGTAGCGACGAAAAATCAGTCCTCCATACTCGTGAAAATCAGGTTGACTGCTAGGGTCAGCCCATAGCCGCTCAAGGATGGAACTAAGCTCCAGATCCTTGGCGGTGTGCTCTACGAGCTCCTCCTTCAGTTTCTTCTGGAGGTCGTAGGATTTGACAAGGCAAGTCATGTACTCTGGGTGGCAAGACAAAGCGTCAACTACTCGGTTATAACAACCCTTTTTGTGTCTTAACTCAAAATCGAAAATGTCAATTTCATGGAACCAGCGAAGCAAGGTAGGGGACAGGGTAGTTTGCTCTTTGATCCACTTCAGAGTCTCATGATCCGAGAATACTTTGAAGTGGCGTCCCAAAAGATAGTGTTTCCAGTGATCCAACGCCATACGCAAAGCATAAAGCTCGCGCATGTAGGTGGAAGTGGCTACCTTTACGCTGGGCATGCGTTTGCTGTAGTACTCTAGTGGCCACAAACCATCGTCGTCATCTTGCTGCAACACTGCACCGATTCCATATTGGCTCACATCCGTAGTGACTACAAACGTC